AATTTAGACTGCCCCAAGGTTTTTTCCAATGCTTTTTAAATGAAATTCTATTCTTGCTGTTTTGGCACTTCATTTTTCCTATCCGTTAAAATCCAGAGGTACCGTTTTTTGGTATAACCGCTTGGAGAAACTTGTTGATGTTATAAGGTAAAGAGAAATTTCAAACGATAACTAAGAAAACAAGGTGGAACAATAACCGACTTTGTTGTTTCAATTTGTTACATGCCAGACATTGAAGATTATTAAGTGCGACAAGAGGGCGACGTTCTAGGTAAGAAAAGACAAAAATGTATACGTTTTTCGTACATTTATCATTTGTAAATTACTGTACTAGAAGCGTAGGTGATCTTAATATACGGGGGAAAATCCTTTCAGGGCTTCCTTAAATTTCGTTGTGGCGGTTATTCAGACTTAAATTCAGTTGTTTAGCAAGGACTGGTTGTGAATGTCTTTAGGAGGGCAAATACGCACCGCAAATAATTTTACGTCCCGATAACCATCTGTTTTACCCAAAACTAACACATTAACCTTTTGCTGTAAAAAAGGCCCAGTTTAATAAACTCATCAAGACCCATTAAATTGACGATGAAGAATAAGAATCAATTCTTACCAACGTTTTTATACATCACGATTTTCTACAAGTGCAGCGATCTATCTTGCTAGTATTTTTAAAAGTATTAAAATCTGTCGATTGATCGGTTACTGGCATCTTACTTATAGAAATGACCTCTAGAAGCTTGTGTAAACAAGACGGTAATTTTCGGTTAATTTTGGCACTACCCAATAAAGCAAATGTCTTTCTCTGAGTTCAAATCTTTGCATCTAGCATCTAAAGCTATTCGTCTCATTACTACCACTAAAGCCTGTTTAAAAAGAGAGAGAAAAAAATTCTACTTATCAGTTATAGGTCATGACATTTCCAACGACCAATTAACAACTAAACAAGGTGACACAATAAATTTGTAATTTCAGATTTGTTGTTAGATCAGTCAATAAAAGCCTAAGTCGAAAACAAAAAACACAACAAACACGGTCGCCCGTTTTCGGGGCGTGCATGTTGTGCTTAAGGGTCGTTTTCACAGGTTCCAGTGTTACAACATCTCACCCTAACAGGATTCATTGAGTTTTAACTTGGCGCCCAGATGTGGTTGTATAATGGGAGTATGTGACATTCTTTCTGTCGGTCTCTCTGCTAATGTCACTAAACTTGCCGCTTGCTTCTCGGATTCAGGTGCCAATGGACTCACAGGAGAGTCACGATAGTGGCCACTTATGAGAGTAACCCTGTTCTTTAGGTCATGGGATGATTATTTGGAAGCGATATGATTTGTCTTCTATTCCTCTCGAAAGCACGTCCATATTATACGTCCAGTAGGTACGATCTTTGCCCAATTCCATTTTCCAACTTCAAGTGGAGGCAAATCTCCACTCTTCTTGTTCTTCTTGTTGTAATTTGACTAGAAGCATTTGCTTGCAGACTATGATCTACTGGGTGAGGTAACAAGGAAGGTCAATGAGTCGGTACCATTGTTCGAGTGTGTCGACTCATCAGCAGCTGCGCAGGAAACACACCAATATCTTCAAATGGTGTGTTGCGATACTTTATCAGTCCCTCGAATGGACCTTTGTTCTCTGCTGCGGCCTTTTTAAGAATGCGTTTCGTAGACTGCACAGCTCTTTCTCCTGCTCTATTTGATTGCGGACATTCTAGTGAGCTGATTGCATGGTTAAGTCTCCTCTCTTCAGCAAATTTCTTGAACTCATTCCTGAACAAATGTCTGATGCTAGTGTGCTGAGGTCCGTTGTCGCTGACAAATTTCTTTGGGATTCCAAACTTCGCAAATATTGATGACACATTAGTGGTGTTCTGGCGAAGCAAAGTCTATTTCAGAGTGCTTAGAATAGAAGGCAATAACTAACAGGTACGTTTGGCCACCATATTCGAACAGGTCACAATACTTGCCAAGGTAATCCTAGAGCATAATGCAAAGTACTTTTCTCTCTCCCATGTGTGCTCCATGAATTTTATATAACACGTTGGGAAGACAATTCTGTCTGATTAAACATACCATCCTCTATACTCACGTTTTCTCTGAAATTCCAAAATTCTCATACAAGTTCTCCAACTTGTTCTTTCTCAAAGGGCCATCCTTTTAAAGTATACGCCAACACCCCTTTGATGTCTCATCAGTTCTCAGGGTGATGCTTTCGAACCCAAGTTTCTCAACACGATAAACTCCGATTACATCATCTTGGACATACGTACCTCAAGGACATACTTAGTGCGTTTTAGCAGCATCTTCTGTAGTCTTGGAGGGAGCCGATTCAGTAGTTTCCAAAAGATTGACTCCTGTTATTTGTTAGCTTGCCCCTGGCTCCGAGATGGTTGGGTCCTCAAAATTGAGCATTTGAATTGAGAGAGCGACAACACGAAAATAAACGGGGAGAAACTGGGGAGAGGAAGGGCTTCCTTTATCCCACCACCACCACCTTTTCCCTGATCATGAGCTCATAATTTTGCGTGTCTTTCACTAACGAGTCATCCCTACTATTTGACGGCCTGGAACATGCTAGTGATTTGTTGTCTCAACAAACGTTGGCTCTCCCAACACAATAGCTGGTAGCTCTCTTTTAATATTGACTCAGATCTTCTCAGAGGCAGTCAAATGCCTTTGAACTGAAGGCAACTGGTTTGCCCTCCTGCATGATCACTGCACGGCGGCGTGTGCTGGTGGCATCAACACTTTCAACTGTTCAGGCCTTCTTTGCGAAAATTCTAGCCCTCTTCAGTGCGGTTTTCAAACTTAGCGAAATAACTTGGAAATCTGTCAGAAAACGCGACATATCTAGGAAATCTGTGGTTCAGAAATCGAAAATCGAAAGTCGCCGAATATTCGAAAATTCTAGCGGACCTTCCTTCCGAACAGATATTTACCGAAGTTACCTTTTGGGTGCCCCTGACAAATGCTACATCTTTGTTGATAAGTTGTGAAATTGGCTGTTCTTGGCCTTGTGCTCAATGAACTTGGTGTCTAGGTAATTGAAGTGGCCAGCACCCACTGCATACATCAAAGGAATTGAAACTCTTAGCACCTGTCAGTCGGTTAGCGACCTCGTATGTAGAACCCATTGGATTTTATGGTCTCTTAAGTTCTTTGTTTAGGTCCCTTAACTTGGGTCAATACAAATTCGAACATCATTTTTCGAGGGTGGAGTGCTCTTTTATTTTGCCTGTAGTTTGTCAAACCTTCATAGTCCCGCAACAAAGGATAGGTTTAGAAGAAACCTGGCATTTCTTCCCAGGTGGTTTTCACCCTGAAGTATTCATTTCAACCCAAAGTTCATAAACTCGAGTCTACAAAAGCCTTATAAGCCAACAATGGTTTAAGATTTCCATCAACAAAAAGATTCAGCAGATTGAACTTTCGGAAGAGGTTTGTTTGTGATTTCCTTGTACAGCTTATAAGGGATGACTGTAGCTTCTGCACCAGCATCTCCTTTGATCCGTTCCTCTTTTCCTAGTTTTCTTTCGAGTGCAGGATTCACTAACCCACCTCAACAGATACAACATGTGTGTGCAATTCGTGATTAGACGAGGTCTCATGTTCCACGGCTGCAACCTGTGACCCTTCAACACTTAGTTGTTTGCACACTGGTGGAAAGTGTCCTTCGTGCTTGCATTTATTGCATTTTTTCCAACAGCAGGGCAGCGAGGTGGCTGAAAAAATGGGGGCTTTTAACCACAAAAAGTACCGGAAGGAGTTGTTGTCTTTCCTTGAAACTTGTGTTTTTAAGAGCCTGTAGTGAACGTTCAGTACCAACAAGTAAGGGTGTGTTAAACTTTTAAAACTTTTGGAGTTCGGCTAGAAGTTCGCTTCGCAATTCGTTTGACAAAACTCCTCCCACGGTACCTACTGATGAAACTAATGAGAGAATCTCGAAAGTCGCTAAATTCGCAAGTTAAGGAAAGTCGAATCTGTTCACGGCAAAATTGTCAATCCTCTTACCTCACCTTCCTTTTGTCTACTCCTGGTTTGGCTGATTAAAATAAACCAGTTGCTTATAAATAACATTTCTAACACCCTGGCACAGTAGATCCTTCCACGGTTTTTTTCAACTTTACATATAGAGAGCATTAAGCGAATATCCATCGACACTTGAGGGAAGGCATTGAAATGAGGTCATCTACCAGTTTAAACATGATACGTCAAAACAGACCGAAGACATAGCTCTGCAAAGTCGCAGAATATTCCAGACGTTTGAGTATGGTGGGGGCACGAACACATTTGTTCGGTCAGGGAAACTCATCTATCCCTCGAAAGCCTCGAAAGCGAAGACGAGGTCAAGTAGAAGGAATACACGTTTATTGCAAAGCCACGGGCTTCTCCTCATGGTTGAGTTGTTGGTGCTTATATTTCTTCGTCTATTCCATTTCAAAGACAAATGGATCTCAAAAAAGAGGCGCAACTTTGATATTCGACTTTTAACAACTGACAACTTTTTACAAAAGAGAGCGTACTGCTTTGCATTTGAATGCCTTAATGGAACTCCTGCATGTTTTCCATTTAAAATTAATTTTAAGAATTTAATCATAACGCTTTAAACACTAGAAACTATGGAAAAACAGCAACACTGCTAAAGGCCAAACTGGATTTTGCGCAACGTAGATTTTAGTTTTTAGGTGCATGCCTCGATTTTTTTTGTTCACTACCTTGAAGTTTAGGCACGCCGTTTACTATTATTACTTGTAATTTCTTTGTGCATGTTTGCTTTTTAAAATATGTATTTTATTTACATATTTTTGTAATTCTTATTCTAATTATTAGTTTTTTAATTCTTAGTCAGCAGGACCCCGTTGATAACAGTACTTTGTACTGAAGGGTCATCATGGATAAATCATTATCATCATCATCATAATTATCATTATTAACAATAGCGAAGTACTGGTACTAGTACGATGTGACGTTATGAATTTTCAATCAATTTGCAGACATCTAGCAATGCCGCACATCTTGGTTCTGTGCACAGTGCTTTCGCTCTTCTACTTGCCAGAAATAGACAGCCTTAGAGCAGGAGCAAGCTGGGCACGTGGTTTAAAAAAGATTCAGGATAACATTCTAAATCTAGCTGACCCGATTCGAATGTTAAGTACAGGTTCATCACTGACATCAGTTTATGTAGGTGGTACTGGTATCTGGTGGAGATCTGGTGTAATTGGCTCGATTTCCCAAATGGAACAAGGAGAGAAAGAAAAAGCAATGGAAACACTCAACATCGCTATCGCAACGCTAGCCGTGTTCGACACAACCCAAGCAACAGTATCCCCTATCGCGTCTGGACTGATTGATCAGTTAGTAAAACACAAGGGAAAATTCCCTCAAACAATCAGTGGATTTAAAGAGTATAACAAAGTAGTGGCGGAACGAGTGGTCAGCGGCAATGCAGATGATGTTGATGATATCATTGATAGTGCAAAAGTATTAAAGAGAAAAATAGGAGAGTTTTTTGACAACGAAGTTACTACATTTATGAAAAATACCCAAGGATACGACGATCTCGTGACAAGTCTCAAAAATGCAAAACGGTGGGCAAAGGCGTTA